TGCAATGCCATTAGGGGAGACTCAGCCCTGAGCTCAGAGGAGGTAAATCTTGGTCCCGTTTGAAATACAGCAAGCCCAGGAGAAAACCGGTCCCCAAAACCTTCCTGCCTCACTCCACGAGGCTGCCTGCTCTCAGTTCGGGTGGCTGGTGCCCACCGTGCTAGGGCGGGATCTTTTCAGCAGTTTTTCAGGTCAGTTCCCCTTTTTCTTTTCATGCACACGGAAAAGCGCAGTCTCACATCTTCGTCCCAGAAGGCAGGTCAATGACTGGACATCAGGCTATGGAGGGGAGGGGAGAGGGAAGCTCTGATGGCTCTGGAAGACCTGAGGCTCTGCGTGGTGCAGAAGCGCCCTGCCCTGGCTCCAAGATCTCCACCCCTCTCTCCGGCCATCCCCAGCACCTCGCTTAGGGACACTGCCCAGCCCCACGGTAGCTTGTCTGCAGCAGCTGCTGCACCCAGACTGCCTGGTCCTCAGCAGTGCCCTTTGGGTCCCTGAGATGAGGCCCAAGGCCACCAGGAGGCTGCTGCCCCGGCATCCCAGCGGGACTTTTGTTACCAGCGGCTGGGGCGGGCGGGGGGGGAAAATGGTGCCGCGCTGCTGGCCAGGCTCTGCGCGTGGGGGACGGGATGTGGGTGGCTGTGCCTCTGTCTGTGTCAGAGCCCCCAGACCCACAGTGGTGGCCAGTGTCTGTTGCAGTTCTTGTCAAGAGGAAGATGAATCATGCAGAGAGCATCCCCGCTAAAATATCCCTTCCAGAGCCAAGCCTGAGAGTGTTCTGCCTAGCACCAGTGAGAAAAAACGGGCTTTGTTTAAACAGAGGGTCAGTGTCTCAGCTGGTCTAAATCAGCTAAGCTCCATGAAGTCAAACAGAGATGTTCTGATTTGCAGGGACTGTGGATTTGGCCCATGGTTTTTAAGCAAATGTGTCCTCTTTAAATCACAAACACCACAAACAAATTTGTGGTGCCTGGGGAAAAAAAAAGTAGAGACTTGCTCCTTGTGAACGTCCCCTAAAACATCATTTCCCCTCTCCCTTGTCCACCCGCCCGCTCCCACATACTGTGACAAAGCTAGGCAGTTTTCCTAGTGGGATGAGAGGTCAGGGTGGCCAGGGCTAATTAAGCTCCATAATAATACTTGGAAATAAAATGAAACTTAGAGCCGTCAGTCGTGCATACCAGCTCCTGGGCCTGTGCCCAAGGGAGGGTGAGGATACTGCGTCCCTCCAGCCACCAGCACAGTTTTGTGGGCAGAGAAACGGATGCTTTGGGGACTTGGTGCCAGAGGAGGTCACCAGGTGATGGCTCAGGTCCTGGGGCAGCCAGGCTGGGGGTTGTTGTCCTCCACCTTTCCTGGGTGGGGAAGTTATTGTCCGACATTCCTGGGGCAAGGCGACTGAGAGCTGTGTCTTTTAGACACAGCAGGGAGCACTGATGTGTGCATGTAGGGAGGGAGCACAGGGACCACGTAAAGGGTATGCACCCAAGGTGCTGCAGGGTGCACAGCCTGGCCAGAGGTGGGATGTTGCTCCAAGAGAAGGTTGGAAGAGCATGACTGTAGAAACACAGGAGGCATTTATCGTACGGTAGGCATTGGCCACCAGTGTCCAGCCCGCCTTCGCCAGCACTAATGTCAGCTCAAACAGACAGAGGAAGAAATAGGGGAAAGGATGGATCAAGTCTCCTCATGCCAGGTGCCGTTATCGTGCTGTGGCTTTTGACTTATTTCTGAGCCGCATGTGACTGACTGCTCCATGCCCAGTCCTCGGAGTTTTCCTTCCTTCCTTCGGTCCTCAGCCAGCCGAGCTGGAAATAGGACTGGTGGGGACCACGTGCAGCAGCACATGCCTTCACACAGCTGCTAAAAGCAGCACCTTCCTTTCCAGCACTTCCAAAGGGTGAAGGGTGCTGTAGGCACCTCCTTGCTTTGGCTTCAGTGCTTCTGCGTGACAGTGTCTGGACCCGGTGCCAACCTGTTTCACTCCAGTCTTTCACCAGTGCAACCCTCTGGGCACCAGTGCTACCAGTCCTGACATAACCCACCTAAAAGCCAATGCTGGCACTCTCACCCCATTTTTGTTTAATGCCTCAGGGGGCCATTTAAGGCTTGGAATAAAGAGGGACTGGATTTCTTTAACATATACTTGTTCTTGGACAGTGGAAATACCATGACAAGAATAATTCTTGGATCATCTTAGCTCCGGTGTGAGCCTCCTGAGGTGTTAGGAAAAAGGAAGTGCTGATAACTGTAAATACAGATATGGACAGAGTGTAGAGATAGCTAGATTTATTTGGGTTTACATGGAAACTATTCTTTCCTGCAGAAATATAACACCCAACAATAATAATTATTATCAGCAGACATCTTTCATCATTCCTTCACTGTGCAGTGCTGCAAATTTTCACCAGGCCTGTGCTGGAAGGAGGCTGGGCTGGATGGAGAGTCCTTCCTATTCCCATCTGCACCATCCAGCTCCAAACCAGCCTTTCTCCACTCCATGCCTCAGGTCCTATGGGTTAAACGGGGGATAGAAACCCGCTCTGAGTACTCTCAAAGCCTGGCAGTTGGGCAGGGAAAGCACATGCTGCTTAGGACAAAAGTCTGAATTTTGGTGGTGTGCTTGCGCAGCTCCGGGGTGTGGGTGGGAACCACCTCTCCCATCCCAAGGACCCCACCTGGGCCTCCCCTTAACCAGAGCAATCAACCACAGCTGATGCTGCTGCACCACCCCTGCTAAAAGCACACCGCAGCTATGCAGAGCTGTTCTGGAGCTCAGTGCCCAGGTTTTGTAGCTGGAGTCCATGGATGGTCACATCATTTAT